CGATTCCTGTCACAAGGAGACTTGGGAAGGCATCATGTCTCCGTGTTCCTTAACTTTGTCCTGGTTCCATAATCGCTTTCATCTCGGAAATGATGCCATTTTTCTTATTTTTTTAAATGTATTTTAGTACAGGGTCTACAGGCCTCCCAAGTGCTGGGGTTACAGGTGCCACCACGCCCAGTCTCAATCACCTTTGCAGTGCTCCCGGGGAGATGCTGGCACAGTACCCCTGGGACCCAACCCCAGCCGCTGCGCTCTGCCTAAGCAGGCGCTTTAGTCCGCTATCTGGCCGGCCCGCTCTTTTTCCAATTATAAGGTAGAGGGAATATGGCGTCTTAAGGCATTGAAATATCAAGTAGGTATGTTGGGGCTGTTACTTTGTTCTAGTGTCCTCTGTGTTTCCCGAGACCAGCTGGTAAAGTGATCTTTTGCTAAAAGAAGGGAGAAGGCAAGGTGTTCAGCAGAGATGAAGGGTCCGTAGAAAAGTGAGGGCTCACTGTAAAAGTTCTGAGCCTCAGTGCTAGGATTCTAAGCAGTGAACTTTGACAACAAAGAAGCTCCGCCCTTTCTCTGAGACCCGGAAGTAGTGAATGTGTAAATTCAGAAATTACCTGAGAACTCCACCTAAATAGTTGAAGCAGCATTTTATGGGAGAAGCAAAATCAATACGTAGGGTTTCTGTCTGTGCCCTAGTAAATCTATTACTGGCAGTCAATAAAACTTTCTCATGTTTCTCATAAAACTTTCTCATGTTTATTGTTTCCAAAGTCCTTCCATGCATATGATTCATTTGGCTTTCTCACATCCTTGGGAGAAGACTGGGAGAAAAAAATTTTAATATTCAACAAAGTGAGCAGACCAGGGCAGGAAAGAAGCCAAATCATCTGGTCGTGATGACCTAGCAGCCCACCCTTCTTCAAGGACAGAAAAGGAGACAGAACACAGTTTTCTTGCATCTTGGTACAAAGCTACATACATTATTATGCACCATTTTATGTTGAGTACAATGATGCTATTAACACATGAAATAAATGACATTTTTTTTTTAGGTAAGTAGACCAAAGGAGGAAATTTATTCTCTGAGTTAAAGGCTTGACTAGTAGTGAAATCAAGACTGAATCAGACCAGACTGGAAGTGCTACCTATTCACTTTAAATATTACAAGGTAGAAAGATTCATTAGTTGATTTCTCAAGGCCCTTTCTGGTACTCAAAGTTCAGCTCTTGAATTGATGCTGTTAACATGAGCAATGTCCACTGATTCGGTCGGGTGGGTGCAGGGCAGTTTTCACAAGGGCTTTCTTTCACACCTTATAGCAGCTATCCCTCAGGTTCCCCTAAACCCCTGCCCATCACAAGGCCACACTGCCACTCCTCAGCTGGCAAACTGGCACCTCCTGTCTCCAGCCTCTAGTTCTGCCCCCAGTGCATCACTGCTTGTGTCTTTACAGCTGTGTTTTTGCAACCACTTGAGTAATTTCACATATTTTATGATACACTACAAGAGGCAAATGTGCTACCAGATGCTTATAATAAGCAAAGGCTGAAATCAGAGGGCTAACATGAAAAGAGAACTTTGGAGTCACAGTATAATGGTTAGCTGTGTGTTCACTAACATTTGTTCATTATTCAGAACATAATTTTGAAAATGTGTAATTAGATGCTGATCAAAGAGACAATGTCTAGTGTTGGAGGAAATGGACAGATCTTAAAATTATGAATGGGGAAGTGATGGCAGACATTTTATTCATTTGAAAACCCAGAATATTTCTCAGGATATATAAATTTTGGGCATTCAATCAAAAAGTGGGCAACTGAAATTAACAGAAACTTCTTAAAAGTGTAAATGTCCAACCGACACATAAAAAGGTTCACTGTTGCTGGTCATTAAAAACTCATCTAAGGGCCGGGGGAGATAGCTCAGTACAATAAGCATTTGTCTGGCAAGCACAGGGTCTTGAGTTCAATACCCAGTCCCTCAAGAAAATAAAATAAAATAAATACATATAAAAATTCAACTAAAAACAACATATATTATGATGCTATCTTACCCCAGACAGATTGGCTATCATCAAAAAATGAAATAGCAACAAATGGTGGTGAGGCTATGGGGAAAAGAAACTGTATTACATTCGTGGTGGGAATTATAAACTAGTACAGCGACTATGACAGAAACTACATTTGACCCAGAATTGCCCTGTCCAAAGGAGTAAACCACCATCTTTCAGGGATACACACATAATCATGTTTAAGATACATGTACACATTGATCATCAGATGAATGAATAAAGAAAAATTTGGTATTTGTACACAATGGAGTACTGCTCTCACATAAGAAAAGGTAAACCTGAGGCAAAGTGGGTGAAACATGAGAACATTATATTACATACGTCAGACACGTGAACTTAAATAGCTCATGGTTTCTGTTATAGGAGAGTATATATTGCCTTTCTGAAAGGACAGCATGCATTTTTTTTTGCATCCTGGTACAAAGTTACATGCATTATTGTGTGCTATTTTATGTCTGCTACAGTGAGGCAGGGAACATGTGAAATAAATGATGTTTTATAGGTGTGAAAAGTAAACCAGAGGAGAAAACTTATCCTATGAATTAAAGACTTGATGAGTAGAGGAATCAAGGCTGATATACATATACATATATATAATATTTATACAATAATGCAATAAGATAGAGACAGACAGACAGACAGAGTGAATGAATAGAAGCTAGAAAATAGAGCTGGGCATAGTGGCATATTTCTGCAAATCCAATGTTTAGGAGACTGAGGCAACATTTTGTCACATGTTTGAGGCCTGCCTGGGTTACCCAGTGAGCTCAAGGCCAGGTTGAATTATATGAATTTTATAGCAAGACCTTGTCTCAAAAAAAAAAAAAAAGCATAAATGTAGAAAGTGGGAAGAAAACTTGCTTCCATATTGCCTATTCCTTTGTTTCAAAAATAATTTATTATATATACTGATTTTTTCATTCATACTAGTTTCTTTAGTTAACTGAAAAGAAATTTTTGTCCTGTGGCTTGTTGGTAAGATGGAGTCTTTTGTAAGAGAGCCCTGTAACAGCGTCATTTTTGTTTCAGGCTTGTCCTCGGAGCAACATTTCGGCCCTTCTTCGAAGATGATGGTGCACAGTATACTAATTATTCTTCTGTAACAAACATAGTGAATGTGTGGGTAAGACACGGACCTTTATCAAAAGAACACAGCTGTGGGGCTGGTGAGATGGCTCAGTGATCTAAAACACCTACTCAGAACAAGCTTAGCAAAGCACAGGGACCGCGGTTCAATCCCCCAGCACCACATGCCAGCCAGCCCTGTCCCTTGGTGGGCTGAGCTGCCCCCCCCATATAAATAAATAAAAATTTTTTTAAAAAAAGAACACAGCTGGTTTGCAACTTTTTGTTAATGAAGTTTAAAAGGAGTTGATAAAACTTTCAAAAGTTCAGCATAAAAACGTTCCATGTAATTTTGCACAAAATCCTTAATATACAATGTCTCTTCATACGTGATGCTTCCAGAACAGTGCAGAATCAAGAAATATTAAATGAAATTCCTTAAATTACAGAAACAAGTTTTGTCTTTAATCTATGTAAAGCAAAGAGTCTCGTTCTCTGTTCCCTCATATCCCCAACAGCATCTACAGCAGTATGTAGAATATCTACCCTAGTGGAAGAAGAGTGTTAGCACACACCCGGGTTATCAATTTTTATTAGAACCAGACAGTGCTTAATGATGGAGAGATGAACGTCCAACACTTCTCTCACGGTTGGTCACTTATTATAGCTATATGTAAATCTTTTAGTTATGTACATTCACCTTTCAAGCACAAGTCCCAAGATACACCGAGAACTGCTTAAAGTCTAGACTCACTTAGCCAGAACTGATGAATTATTAGAAGTGAGGAGGGAAGTAGATGGTAAGTAATAATAATAATAATAATAATAATAATAATAATAATAGTAATAGTAATAATAATGTGATCCCAAGCAGATCCACACCTGTAATCCCAGCACACATGGGAGGCTGAGGTAAGATTGGAAGTTTTAGACCAGCCTGGACGAGTTGATGATTTAGCAACACCACGACTTAAAATACAAATTAAAGGAAGGTCTCGGATACCTAACTCAGGATGAAGGTCCTGGCTTCCATCCCCAGTATGCACCAAAAAAAAAAAAAAAAAAAAAAAAAGAAAGAAACCAGGTCCACGGTGACCCACGACGACCACCAGATTACTTCTAGGCCCAATGCCGCACATTGTTCCATTTATTTGCAAAAGGTGACTCAGCTCTAAAGCGTCAATGCAAGGGTCAGACAGTAGCCGAGACAGCAGGGCGTTTTCTTTGATCATCTCTTGCTTACTCTCCAACCACCCAAGCTTGCTCCAAACCCAATGGGTACAGTACGCTCAGAGATCCTCAGAGATCGCAACGGGGATGACTCGCTCATCTTCAACTGGCCGTGTTGGTTCCCCTTCTCCTGGACACTCACTCTGCTCTTCCCCTCACTGGGGGCTGGCAGCGGACAGGGTTTCAAACCTGGGGTCCAACTGTGCATGGACACTTGCAGCAGGTGCGTCTTCTGCGGGTGGCAGAGTTAGGGCAGCTCCCCTCAAGGGACTCAGTGCTCCCCACAGCGCCCCCCGGAGGTGGGCACCAGATCTCCAACTCAATAGGGAGGGCTCAGTGTCTGACCCCGGAAGGTTCAGTACTCAAGCTGTGGCCCCGGGGCAGGACGTTGCTCCTCCGCAGCAGAGATCTTGCTAGGCTTAGGGGGCAGGCAGTGTTCACACAGGGTGGGGCGCAGGGTCCGCTGCAACCTGGGAGGCGCGGGCAGCAAAGGCCAGCGGGCAGGGATGGGGAGGGTGAGGGGAGTCCCCAAGTGGGCGGGGCCAGCAGGGAGCGGGGCTGGACCCAGGGGGATCTGAGGAGGAGGCGGGGGTCGGAGGCAGAGGGGGAGGGGCGGGGCGGGGCCGGGAGGCGGAGCCGGGGTCCCAAAGCCTGCGAGGTCGGGCTGGCGCTGGGCGTGCTGCAGCCCCCGGGGGCCGGCACTTGGGCGGGAGGAGCCGCCGAGGCCCGACCAGGGCGGCGGACGCCGAGGAGGACTGCGCGCAGTTTCCCCGGGCCGCGCTCGTCTCCGCCCGCGCTCCAGGTCTGCGTGCGCGAGGCCGGCGGAGATGGAGGAGCCGGACGCGCTGGAGCTGGAGGAGGAGGAAGGTGGGAGCGGAGGGGGAGAAGGGGCTGGGCCGGGACGGGACGAGGGACAGGGGAACGCGATAGGCGACAGGGACAGGCGGGAGGCCCACTCGGCCGCGCGGCCCCGCCGCAGGGCAGCGCCGAGCCCGGGACCTGGGCCAAGCTCCGGTGCCCGCGCTGCCGAGCGACACCCGGCCGGGCGGAGGAAGCGGGTCCCTCGCCCGCCCGCCCGCGCCCTGGCCGCCCAGGTCCGCCCGAGGGCCGGCGGCTCGCGGTGCTCGCGCTCTTGGAAGAGCTCGGACTCTGGGACGCCTCGTTCTGTTGAGAAGTAGTTGTCCGTCTTTCGCTCAGCTCTTTGCAGCGGTCTCTGTTACTAACCGTTTTCCTAAAGAGCTTGTATTTCTTCTGCGGCGCTCTCAGGCCCCCAGTGCCAGCACTTTCATGTTCTGTTTAGCATTAGAGCAAATCCTGAAAGCAGGCTTTCACACCAGAAGACCTCAGCATAGACCTCCCATCCCATCTTCAAATGGACACCGAATGGAGAGCATTGTCGTTTCCATTCTTTCTGCTTCAAAACAGCTTTATTGAGATAGAATTTACATAGCTTTACATGCACTCATTTATAGTGTAAAGGTCAATGGCTTTTAGTACATTTACAGAGTTTTGTAACCAACATCATAAAGTAATTTTCGAATATTTCCGTCTTCTCAAACAGGAACCTCCTCCCGTGGCATCCTCCCGACTTTAGCCAGCCACTACTCAGTCCATTTACTGTGGTCATAAATTTACCCAGGCAGATCGCAGTAGGACCACCCACTCTGGGACTCATGGGCACTGGCTTCGAGCTCTTAACATGTCTTTGAACTTGATCCCTGCATCAGTTTATGGCCCCTTTCCACAGAAAGTAGCATCCCTGTAGAAATACTCAGAATCCCCATCAGGTGCATTTTGGAGTTACACCCTATGAGTGATGCTGCCATGAGTATTCATCTCCAAGATTTTGTATATGTTTCCACTTATCTTGGATATATACCAGGTGGAGTAGCTCCATGTTGAAAATTTGGAGACACTATCAAAATGATTACGAAGTGTCCACAACATTTTACGTTCTCACCAGTAGCTTATAAAAGTTCCAGTTTCTCCACGAACATCTGCTACTGTCTGTTTTATTACAGTCATATGAAGTGGTATTTGGATGTGATTTTGACTTTTTTCCTGAGGGCCATTGTGTCAAGTATTTTGTATACTTCTTACCATGTACATTTGAGAAATGTCTACACAAATCCTGTGCCCATTTAAAAAACTGAGTTATACTTTCATGTTGATCTGTCATAGCTTTTAATACATTCTTGGTACAACAAGTCCTTTTATTACAAGTTACTGGTATTTTTTTTCCATTCTGATAGTTATCCTCTTTTATTCTTTCATTCTGCATGACACCTAAGACTCCCTCCCCTCTTTTTACATAAAAATAATTTGAAGATGGAAGAAAGTAAATGTTGTGAATACTTTGAGCTATGATAAATGTTGCTGAAAAACAATGAAGTAAAAACAGTAAAATGAATACATTTGCTAAAGATGATTGTTTTTCAGCGGTACAAAGAAAGAAAACAAATAACTTTCAGATGTATAAAACTGAAAGGCTCTTTCAATATTTACTGGATAGTTTTGGCCTTTGCTGTACTTTTAGTAGTCTCCAGGCCTGAGTATATAGTTTTTTGTTTTTGTTTTCCATTTAAAGCATTCAGGAACTATGAATAACCACTAAGGAGAGAACAGTATGCAATGTATTACTTATTGAAACTGTTTTACTAATTAGTTTGAAAGTGTCTCATTGCTATTTGTTTCTCAATAAAATTAATAAAATAATAAAGCATTCAGGAATTCTTTATGATTAATTTTTCTGAGATAGACCTATGTGTGCTATAAACAGATGTTTTTCATTGAAGGGAGAGTAGAGGGGAAATTGCTCCCTGCATAATGAAGAAAAGTATTTCAGCATAGCACTAGGGTGATGAACCATTATCTTCTTTTAGTTGTCAGACATAGGATATAACTGAGCCTCAAGATGGTTTTGCTTACCAGACTCTATACTTAAAATTCATACAACTTAAGTATGAGGTCCTGGGTAGCACAAATCTACCCTCAAATGATTTTAGAACTATTCCCAAGAGAGTTTCAGTCTTCCTTTGTTGGCAAAGTCTTTTGCCATTTATTCTTCTCCTCATGGTCATGATATAGGAAAAATGAAACTTCCTACCTGAAAGGTACCTGGGATGAGTTTGTGTTCTCTAAAACCAAAGAATGGATTTTAGGAACAAACGGGGGTTATGAGCAGAATAGATTTATTGGGAGAAAGAAAGCTGCTGTCCTAGAGAGGGACAGAAGGGGGGCCTGAGAGGGTTGTCGCAAGGAAGCTGTCTCTTCCCTGGACTTTTGTAGAGTAAAACCATGTGATGGGGCGAGTCTGTGGTGGAGAACATGGAATCTTGCTTAGGTGGGCATGAGGTGGAACAAAACTGTGGTCAACCAATGAGATTACAAGCACAATTGCTCAGATAAAATTGATTAAATACAGAACCGAATGAGGAAGCAAGCAGGCGAGCGTGAACACAGAAGAGGAGTTTACCCGGAAGCCCGCAGGTAGTGGTTGGATTGGTGACTCTTCCCGGCTTCCTCAAGGTGATGATCAATCCCAGATGCTTATCTTTAGGGAGGTCAGCATTTGTTTGATCTTTGCTATCTAGGTCTGGCCCACAGCAAGAGCATCCATTTCTCTCACAGTTGCAGTGTATCTTGTCTTCCCTGCTGTCTCCTTGAGGGTCTGGCCCTGTCTGACTGCCTATAATATTTCTATCTAATTTAGTTGCGTATAACAGTCAAAGCTGAGCTTCTGATCCACATGGTGGTGGAGGACAACCATGGATGAGGTGCAGCATGTGTGTATGATAGCTGAGTTGGGTCACTGCTCTGCCCAAGTTTCTGTGTCCACATCTTTTCCAAGGTGCAGAATTCAGGAGCAGAGCATTGCAATGTCAGTGCCAACAGGTGCCAAGGAGCAAGTGGATCAGAGCGCTCGAAGGCCACTTACTTTTCTAGGCATGTGAGCAAAATCTCAATTACATTACTGAGCAGTTTTTGCTTCTTGTGGTCTATACCTCTTGTACAATGTTCTTTGAATGTTCATTAGAATGAGGGTGTCTCAGTACTGACAATCTAGTGGACTTCTGTAAGCCCACCTTCAGCCAAGCTCCCCCCCAAACTTAACTGATATGATTTTAGAAGCAGAAGTGCTGGCCAAAGAAGGCTAAACATTTCAAGGTCTCATAATACCAGATTTTAGGAGCTACTTTCCCTTCCGCGTAGAGACATGTAGAAGGAATTCTTGGAGTAAATCACTCATACAAGTAAAACTCAATCTTACATTTCCTCAATCACCTTTGAACATTAAGTGTAGAGTCCGTGTTTCTGACTTACACAAGATTTGTTTCTATAGAGTCAATTAATGTCTTGCATTTAGAAATAATTGCTAATGAGGTGTTTCTAGGGGTCTGGTCAACCACAGTGGAACACAGGAGCCATCGGTGATCTCAAGTGAACATTTTCCTTCTATGTTCTGGTCCTTAAAATGCAAATCCAGTGGCCAGGGCAGTAGGCTCCTAAACTGCTTTGTAAGTAGCCACTGCCAGTCACATGTCAGTGCTGAATGAAGTCCTGACTGGTTGGCACTGCAAGGGAATTCTGACTTGCTGTGTTCATTCTTTGGTTACCTTAAGAAAAGTCACGACTGCAAAGGACGGCATAGGAGTTCAGCACTGAATAAGCAGTTTATAAGTTGAATGTTGTTGAAAAGTTGTGGATATTTTTACAACCACATTATGCCCTTATTTAGTGAAACCACCTGCCTTGCAGGAAAGCAAATTTTTGTGAATGTATTTGTGATCTCTTTGCCAACAGAAAACTTCTGAGAAAAGTTTAGTGATTTCATGGTTGTGAGGGCATTACAGAATAAACTTACACAGAAATGGGTTCTATATCCTACTACATACCCAGGCTGTGTTACAGTCTTTTTTGGATCTTGCATTATTGTTTGTGGCCCGCTGTTGACAGAATTGTTGGTCTGGTAGCACCTGACTGTATTTTATTTTGTGTGACTGGTACGAGTGTAAACTGAGAAGATCATTGGATGCAAGGGCTATTTTGGGGCTTCGGGTTTGCTGGATGGTATATTCTTAGTAATGTGCTTTCAGTGAAAAACTCAAGCTCAGGCTGTGGGCCGAGTTTCCTCCTTAACACGCGTCTGGTGATTCTCCACTGTGATTAGTGCCAAGCCTCTATTATCTCTGATTTCTAGCCTGGCAGCGCAGTCATTTGCATTCTTTTTAGAGAAAGTTGGAGAAGTATCAAGAAGCTGACTTGGAGTTGCCGGCTTCTGATCCTGCCTCTGCAGACAGGTCTGTTTCAGGAGTGGCTTGGGATTATGTGCATTTCGTGTTCTGAAAATGTACAGAGCATGCGTGTGTATCTCAGAAGACTGCCTGAGTGTCCCTGTGATTGAGAGCGAAGTGTTGTGAGAAGCGGCAGCGTGTGTGAGGGGAGCTGGCTCTGGGGAACCTTTCAGCTTTGCACAAGATGTGCCTTTGACCATGCTCAGCAAGGCCTGGAAGCAGCACGTGAACACAGTGTGAGCTGTAAGTGGGTGCTGGCAAGGGAGGAGCACCATCGTTCCTTCTAGAAAAGGCAGAGTGTGCGGAGGTGACAGCATAAGAGGAGCGCTGTGGTCATCGTGTGAGGGGGCATCTGCGTGTTTTGTTTCATCCTTTCTCCGAATCCTCAACTGAGTACGTGGTGTCAAGTTCAGATAACATTTGAAGATATTTTTCATCTGCTTGTTTTATGTTAAATGGAACAAACATTATTGGAGGAAAGAAGGGCTAGTGCTTGCAATTTGTCAAATTTCTCTTTATAAAAAATAGAATTTTAAAATGTCCCATATACCTAGCTTTGGGCCTGTACTTACTTGATTCTTCTGTGGTTGGAACTGTATTTTGTTTGATGCATTGTTCTTGGTCTAGTGGCTGTTATCCTCAAGAAAATAGAAGCCTCTGTAAATCCATGTGTGAGAGGGGAGGTGCCACACGTGAGAACCGAAACAGGCATGCCTCAGACTCCCATTCATTATTCACTGTAATGTATATTGGCTTATTGTGTGCTATGTTCTTTTATATTTTTGTGCTTATTAAAAAACTTGATGTATTCAGCATAGGTTCTCCCTGCACAGCTCGGACTCATAGTGATCCTCCTGTTTCAGCCTCCCCAGCACTAGGATCACAGGTGTGTGCCACTACGCCTGGACTCCGTGGCTGGCTCAGAGTGCCCGGGGCAGGTCTGCCACTGAATGTGGTACTGGGGATCGAACCCGCATCCTTGTGCTTGCACACCAGGTTCTTAGACTTCTGAACTATCTCTGTGGCCATATATTTCTATGTTTTAGTGAAAAAGACTACATTCAGAAAAATTATGATACAGGTGCAGTGGGCTACCTTTTGGACTTTGGTAAAAATAACTGCAACAGTTTAAGAGCAGCTCTTCCAAGAAAGTGATATGAGTACCAAATGAATCACTTCAGCTTTATTCTGATACTCTGAATACTAGCCCAGAGAACTCAGCACAGTGGTAAACATTAATAAGGAGCAGAGCACATCCTGTTATTGGTATCAGCAAGGATACCATTTTGACCTTCTTTGTGCAAAGTGAAGGCATAGCTCATTCAGCGTTGGCACATGCATTGTGTAAACCCATCTGCCATTTATGTGCTTGTGGAGATGTGTGGATTCGTGGCACACTCTTGCACGGCAGGGGAGGGACTATTTTGTTTCATTTTCTATGGGTAGAATTGCTCCTCCATTTGTTGTCAAGGATCCTCAGCGAATGGCTGAAACTGGGAGTAGTATCAAGTCTTACACATTTTGTGGTTGTTCTTAAGTCACGCCTATGAAATTGTTTAATTACAAACTACATGCAGTAACAGATCGACACCAAGAAGTTATAAAGTACAACAATTAAAAATATATTTAATATAATTCAGTGAATGTGCTCTGCCTCTCTTAAAATGTCACCTGGTACTTCACACACTTTTCCTAACCATAAGTGACTTGTGTAATCCATGAAAAGGGTTCTAACTGTTGTTATTTATTTACTTATTTGGTATTTAGGATGGGCTGCACACAGTCTCACTGTGTAGATCGGACTCATAGTGATCCTCCTGCTTACAGCCTCCCAAGTGCTGGGATTATAGTCATATGCTACCACGTGGGTCTGCTCTCTCGAAATGTTGTTAAATTTTAATTAATTTCATTGAACAGGTTCAGTGTTGTTTTATGAAATGAACTGTGTTTCTTGGATTGTGAAAAATCTATACAGATGAGCTACTTATGTTTACTAGTTTTGGAATATATAGTAACTCTTTCCAAAATTATACTTATTATGAAAGACTGGGAAGTAATAGGAACATTTTCTTTTGTTCCCAGTCTGACATTTTCCCTCCTCTAACAAAGTAGGATGATTTTTTCTTTTGGCAGTACTAGGGATTGAACTCAGGACCTTGTACTTCCCAGGCAGGCACTTATGCAACTGAGCTGTCTCCCCAACCCTTCCTGTAGGATGATTTTAACTGGGGAAATACTTTTGAGTATTTTTCCAAGTTGGAGTGCCTAGAGAATAAAAATAAAATTTGCTTTGTTGCAAGTTTTAATGTTCGAAACTTCTTAGAACATGTATTTCAATCCAAAAAGTGAGTACATAGTTGTTTTGACGATACCGTATGAGGATAGTCACTTGGTGTCCTGAGAAATGTATTGTGCTTTAGCAGTGTTTCTCTCCCACCTTGTCCAGTTCATGTACAGGAGGTGAGTGAGGAGAATACTGACCCTCACCTGGTACAAGAGAGGAGGTGGCCATGAACAGGACCTTAGTGATTTTCCTCTGAGTCTACAGCTGTGTTGTTCAGAGCTAAATTTCCTGCCTAGTGGATGGGAGTATATCCTGCACATTTATACTTTCTCCCTAGAGCACAAACAGTCCTCAGTGAAGTATTTTTTGGAAGCTGTGCAGAGCAGGTTGCTCTGGGAAGGTCTTGTATGCTTTCTTCCACTGAGTGTGTGTGTGTGTGTGTGTGTGTGTGTGTGTGTGTGTGTGGTGTGTTCCTTTGAATTTTTGAATTTTGCTTGATTTTCTGTCTTCTCCTAACAAATTTTCAAGCAGAGTCAGATCAGTTGGCCAGTGTAACACTTTTCTTTTTCTAATTTTATCTAGTGAGAAGTAATAGTCAAGACACTGCCTACACCCTGCAAATGAGTGAGGTAAGTTGAATGCACATGTGTTACCTTGCTTGAAGTTAAGACATGAAAAAACAAACAAGGGAAGCAGTGCCCTGTATGAGAATAGTTAAAACTTTGCTTGTTTGCTCATAACATATTGGATCTGTTTTGTCCTCCCTCCTGTTCACTTTTAAATAAATGAAACAAATTTCATGCTTTGGGCACATTTGTTATTACATATTTCTAGTTGTTATTCTAGAATATATATTTTTTTTTTTTGGTAGAGCCTCACTACACATCTCAGATTTGTAGTGATCCTCCTGTTTTCAGACTCCTCAGCACTGGAATTACAGGCATGCACCACCATGCCTGGTTGCGGTGGCTGGCTCAGGACACCTGGAGATGGGCCAGCAAGGGCCAGTGGTGCCGGGGATTGAACCCTGGTCCCTGTGCTTGCTTAAGCAGACACCTAGTCTGCTGAGCCGTTTCCTGGAACCAAGTTTAAATTTCTTCTGAGGGCTCTTGTGATGTAAACTCAAATAGGCGGAGCTTTGATAAGCAAGATAGCAGCATCCAACACAACCTTGGAAAGAGATAACTGAAGTCTCCATGTGACAGAAATCATAATGCAGTTATTAGTACACGATGTGTTCTTACCCATAACTATGCCAAGGTTCAAGAGCCCAACGTGAATAAAGTAAGTACATTAAGCAAAACAGTAAATGATACATTTTAATGTGGTTGCCCCTTTGTGTCTGTGGGTTCTGCATCTGTGGCTTCTATCAACTGCAAATCAGAAACATTCAGGAAATTGTTTCTTTCTTGATCATCTCTACTATACTTTTTTCTTTGTCATTATTGCTAAAGAATGCAGGTTTACAAGTATATGTACAGCATTTACATCGTGTTAGATATTTAAATTAATCCAGGAGATAATCGCAAGTGCACAGAAGATAACATGCAGGCTAGGTGGAAAGAGCATGGCATTCTTTGCTAGTGGTTCTCAGCTTTAGCTTCTGTGTGGGGTTCACCGTGTACATGTACAGGCTTGTTTTGACCAAAGGTGTTTTTTATTTATATAAGATTTGAAAATGCAGCTCATCCGATGCTGAGACACCACCCTGCTCACCTCTGTGGTGCTCTCATCAGAGTTAAGCAAAGCCAACAATTTCAAAACATCATGCCCTAGGGCTGGTGAGATGGCTCAGTGATCTAAAGCACCTACCTAGAACAAGCTAAGCAAAGCACAAGGGACCCTGGTTCAATCCCCCAGCCACCACATGCCAGCCAGCCCCGCCCCCTGGTGGCTGAGCTGGCCACACACACACACACACACACACACACACACACACACACACATAAATAAATATAAAAAAAATTTAAGCTGGGTATGGAAGTGCATGTGTTGATATTAAAAAAAAAAATCATGCCCCCCCTTCTACGTTTTTTTTAAAAAATGACTCGTACTTCTTGGATCTCATGGAGAATGAGAAAAGGGAATCAGTAGCTTCTAATGCTGAGATGACAGTAAAAGAGATGTATAAACTATTGAAATGCAGAAGTCATAGAACTGAAAAGAATTTACAGAAACTGCAGAATCTCGATGGAAAAATTGAGAAGATGAAAGAAGGAATCCTTGAATCTGAAGACAGAGGAATCGGATGAATCACACAGAGGAAATGGACTGGGAAAGAAAAATGTGGTGCCTGAGAAGAGAGATGGGTCAGTATAACAGAAGATCTAAGGGTTGTGCCTGGTGAGGCCTAAGACAGGCAAAAGAAGCTAGTTGTCCACAGGCAGAAGCCGTAGCTAGAAATTTCAACCTGAGAAAGTCACACAGATGCACAGATTCGAAGACCAGAAGGACCTACTGTGGCATAAGCCCAAAGAATTGCACATGTGTAAGACTAAAGTTTAGTTCGTGATGTTCTTCTTTTTTAAAAATTTTATGAGCCCACGTTCACAGTGCACGAGTCCATCCACTATGGGGAGCTGGCCCAGGTGGGGGCACCTCTGATTGTGTTCCCCTCCCCGCTCCCTCTCCATCGCTTTGACCCTTTCTTTTTTTAATTAAGAAATTTTGTATTCATTTATTTGGTACAGGTCAGACTAGTGGTGACCCTTCTGTCTCAGCCTCTCCTGCTCTGGGATTACAGGCACGTGCCACCACACCTGGTTTCAGTGGCCACCACACCACACCTGGGTTTCCAGGGCTGGCATGGTATGTGGTACTGGGGATTGAACCCAGGCCCTTGAGATTGCCAGGCAGGCACTTAGACCACTGAGCTATCTCCCCAGTTGTCCTCTTCTTTTTAGCAAAATATCTATGTGTTTCCTATTGTTTTTTATATTTATTTATTTTATTCTTTGATTTATTTATATTTTGAATTACTCATGTTACAGAAAAACACATGACATTCACCTAAACTTCATGAATCAATGTGTATCAGTTTTCCTACAAAAGACTCAAGTTTATCATTCTTTAGGGCAGAGTAGTGCTCCACTGTATGTAAATGCCACATTTTCTTTATCTATTCCTCTGTTGAAGGGTATGTAGGGCACTTCCGAGATTTGGCGCTTGTGAATTGTCATGCTGGAAATGTGGAGATATCTGTATCCCTCTACGTGTACCTTTAGTTTTTTAAGGAAGATACTTAGAAGGGGATTAATTCTTAAAAGCAGATTAGAAAAAATATCTTGAGAGAGACAGACAGACAGACAAAAGCTTAATTACTGTTCCAAGAGGAGTAAGAACAATGAGAGAGGGCTGGAGATCACGCAGGGCACAGAGGTGCGCAAGGATTTGAGTGCAGCCCCTGTTCTGAAGTCTGGAGCAGGACAAGGGAGCACTATTGGTTTTGAATAGTTTTCATTACATTTCAATAAGTGCAGTGAGCACCATACACAGTTTTGCTTTTAGAAAGATACCAAAACTATTATGCCACGAATTCAGACAGTTGTCTCTCTAAAACCGTTGTTACGTAGGCAATCTGGTTGTAATGAATACTGTGCATTCTGTAATTCGTTTAGCACTGATTCAGCCACTGTATGCTAATTCTTATATAAACATGAGTCTAGGGAGTTTGGTCCATGCACGTGTTGGATCCCGATCCTGCCTCCAGCTCCCGCTGTCATCATCCTCCCTTCCCTTCCATCTCTTTTCTCCAGTCTCCCCTCAATGTGTTCTTAAGTGTGGGAAGATGTGCGGAGAGTTTCCATTAGCACATGTGCCCTAAAAGATTTGCTAAGGAAATTTCCTCAAAAACTTCTTTCTCAAAAAGAAAAAAGTGAAAAAACTATTGAAGAATGTGGGGAAAGAAGAATGAAGGAAAGGAGAGTAGAAGTGTGGGTGTAACACTAGTCAATTTTATTTTTCCAATTGAGGTTTCTGAATCTTTTTTTTAGGCGGGGAAAGTCAACTTTATCAGTTTTGGATATGGTTTTCAATATACGTAGGGAAATATTTAACAGGGAATAAATAAAAAATAACAGGTATTCATGAAACAACAAGATAGATTATATTATGAGCAATTAAACTTCAAGAAATTTAAGAATGAACACAAGAAAGGATACATTCCTTTTTCACAGTGGATCAAGCAAGAAATCCGTAACAGGGGTACGGCGAGAACATCTCCAAGGATTGGAAACTCAGTGCTGTGTTTTCAGATAGTCCAAGCATGGCAGAAATTCTCAAAGGAAAAACAAAGACAAATAAAACTGAACTAAATGAAAGTTAAAATGTAACAGAAAGGTGCTTGAGAGTTGGAACCAAAGCATTTTTAAAAGGGAAACTTGTAGCCCAAAATATAGTGTTTAGTTATGAGTGAAAGTCTGAAAGCTGTGGCCAGCTTCCATCTGAAGGAAGTAGAGTGACAGAAACCCAGAGAAATCAGGAGGAAAATAATTGTGAAAGTAAGAGTTGAAATAAATTAATTGAGATCCAAAACATCATTGGAGAAAAACCAATGGAACAAAAAGCTATTTTTTTAAAGCTCAGTAAGAAAAAAAAAAAAAAAAAAACCTCCAGCTAAAAAAGAAAAATGGCAGAAAGGAAGGGGGTGGTAAGAACGTGCACGCGCGACCTCTGGGGTTCATTAGGGTTTATCACTAGAGTGTGATAGAGTGAACTCATTACATGGCCATTGGAATGTAAGTCAGCATTAATTAGGAAAAGCCAATATTTACTGAGAACTTCTGTCTTCATCTCGCTGTGTGGAAGCCATGACAGAGGGAGCTTAGCATGGTCAAGATTACACATCTGATTAGCTTTAGATAACTGCAGAAAACGATTACAAAATCTATGAAATGAAACCATATCAGTTAGTATGTTATTATAGCTATGACCTTTCAGAGCTGAGATTCAGAGATCATCCGATTCTAAAGTATTATTCCTTTAAGAAGAGACTATGTGTTTCTAAATAATGATAAATCTCATTAATTGGTAATGTTGTTGTGTTCAGAATTACAATAATAATTTAAAAATACAAATCTTTTAAGCTGACTTTCTCCATGTCAGACTTGCAAAATGCTAGTAATTACTCAACCGTTTTTTTTTTTTAAAGTACTCACCCAAGTATTAGATTACAGCTATTATTTTAAGAACCTTATGTAAAGCTCAGCTGCGATGCTGTCTGTTGCTGGGCTTTTCTTTGTTGGTAATTTTATTTTATATTATTATTTTAATTTGCTGAGGATAGAACCAAGGCATGCATGTGCTAGGCAAACACTGAACCATTGACATAAATCCACAGTCCTTTCTGGTGCTCTTTTAATTCTTCAACCTCTTATCCCCTTCTCCCATCCTGGGGCTGAAACCCGAGGCTGTGACATTCAATGATACATTTTTTAGTCATTTTTATGATTTCTTTTAAGACAGGGTCTCACTAAGTCACTAAGTTACCCATGCTTGGGTCAGTCCTATGATCCTCCTGCCTCAGCTTCCCCGAGTGCAGGAATTACATATGCACACTGCCATGTTGTGTTGTCCTCAATTCTTCATTTTTCGTTAGTCTGTTAAAGCTTTCTATTCCTCTGATTCACTCTATTAGCTACAAAAATGGTACTGCGCCATTTGAGATGTTACTGTCACTGCATGCTAATTCTTATATATACATGTGTCATGGAGTTTCGTCCACGCATGTGTCAGATCCCGATCCTGTCTCCAGCTCCCGGTCTCATTATCCTCCCTTCCTTTCCTTACCTTTCCTCCAGTCTCCGCTGGTACTAGGGATTTGAACTCAACTTTTGTGGTACCAGGGATTGAACTCAGAACCTTGCACTTGCCAGGCAGGTGCTTAAGCTGCTGAGCTATCTCCCCGGTCCTACATTTTTCCCTTATGGTGATTGATTTAAAGGACTGGCTTTGCCTTCTCCACCCTGAAGACACACTATATTTCTAAATTTTTCTAAAGTTCATTCATTACCTATACAATATCTGATTTTTTGGTGTATAATTTTTTACAATGTTCCCTTATAATCATTTTTATTTTAAAGTATCCTCCAATTTATTTCTGATTTTGAGTCTCTCTTTCTCAGCATGTGTTGATTTTATTTTTCCCAAGAACCTTAGTTTTACTGATGCTTCTGGTTTTGGGTTTTTTTTTTTTTTGGCGGAACCGAGGATTGAACTCAGACCCTTGCCCTTGCTGAGGAAGCGCTTATTCCACTGAGCCATCTCCCCAGCCCCTAGCTTCTGTATTTTTGCTTTCTCTATTTGATGCATTTCTGTTCTGATCTTTCTTATTTCCTTCTAGTAACCTTGGTTAATTTATTTTCCCAGCTCTCTTAAATGTAGTGTTAGAGACTACTAATTTGTGATCTTTGTTGTCGCATAAAGTTGGCATCTACTGCCTTACACTTTTCTTTTTGGACAGTGTTTGCTGATTCCTAAAGGGTTTGATATGCTTTGTTTCTATTGTAATTTGTCTCCAGATATTTTTATTTCCTTTGGGTTTCACTTTTGATTTGTTGATTGTTCAGCAGCTTAATTTCCAGGTATTTGTGAATTTTATAGTCTTCCTCATTATTGATTTATAAGTTCATACTATTTGGGTTACAAACAATACCAGATATGGTTTCTGCCTTCAGAAATCTATGGGCTAATATCTGGTCTATCCTAGAGAATTTTCCACATACATTAAAGAATATTTTGTTACTGTTAGATGGAAATTTCTAAATACATTAGATCTGTTTGATATAATGACAATTAAATTCTACTTTTGCTTTGTTAAATTTCTAACTGTCCACTACTAAAAGAAGTAAGCAAAAATCCTGTGCTGTTATAATATGGCTATTTCTTC